ATGAACAAAATACAGTCAGTCCTCGACATATGACGGGGTTAGGGACCGATGACCAGGTTGTAAGTCCAATTGGTCCTAAGTCGAAAATGCGAAAATAATACATAGAAAAATCTAAAATGGGTGTCTCTTTTTCTTCTAAGCACCACGAGAACTCTCACATTTACGCTTGCCATCCATTTTAAAGGGAATTACAAACAAAAATTTTGTCAGTACACAGCACTATCACTTACGTCGGGACTTGAAAATACGTAATTTGGAAAATATTTTATACGACTGCGGCGGTCGTATGTCCTGGTGGTCGTAAGTCGAGGAGTACCTGTGCAGTATACGGTACACTGTATATGTGTGGCTGCATACATAATTAAGTACTATACTGTAGTCAGTTTCCCTTGTTGATCATATTGTTTGATAAGTAGAAACAAATATATTGTTGAATTTTATTAAATGAAGTTCTTTTGATATACTGTCCCATATGTAGAATATGATTAGTATACAGTAGTGGTAACAACATGGTTGTCCACTGCTGTACCAGCTTATGCACGGGCAGGACTAATGTGTGTGCTCAGGTTTAATGATTATGGGTACTGTATATTTTATCAGGGTCTGGAGAAAGAAGTATTTAAGTAGATGAGTCAATATGAAGGAAGGAAAACCTTTCTGGGTTAGTTTTGACCAATCACAGGACCATTACAGACACTGCAAAGATTTAAGGATGGGTGAAATACATTTTTGGCCAGCCTTATGTACTTGTACCAAATTTGTTTACAGTACCCTGTATTGTATTTCTATTTATGTTTGTTCTGGGAGTATGTGTCCTTGACTTTTGTGTATCCCATGTTGGCTGCCCTGACTACATGTAATGCAATTTCACATATGTTGGTTGACTTATTGTTCAAAATAGGAATGATTTCTTCACAATATCACTCAAATTAAGTTTAAAAAGCTATTCATATCGGATCATTGATGACAAGGTGCCTGATGGAGTTGCAGATCTCAATTAATCACTGATTTCTGGTTTCAAAATTGGCCCCTTTGAGATTGGTATAAATAATTACAAAAGTATTTGTCATTATTGGCAAGGGAGAGGTGTCTTGTGTCTTAGGTACAGTATTCCTGTTACCTAACAAGAGTAATGTTGATTGTTGTGTTTAGTGATTTGTCTCCACACACAAAATGTTTATGAATGATGACTGTGCTAATCAGCAAGGTGAATATAACCATCTTCCATGAATGTGAGAATAAACAATGCCTGATTCAACACAACTTTGAGTGTTGGTTTATGCACATAACTACTTATTTCACAAACCTATTACATATTGGAATTTATGCTTTAGAATTTAATCGAGGTAGAAAACCATCTACTTTTTTTAGATTAATGTTATTAGAAGGGCAAAAATATATTGTGATATATTTTATGAATGGGTTAAATAATGGTGTATTAATGTGAAAATTGCCCCGGAATACGAAAAGACGCTGGACTAATAGCATGTACAGTAGCTATACAGTAATGTAAGAAATTCCTGTACAGTACTTAATCGTGTGTTCAAGCCAAAAGATCATTTTTCACTACAGAACAGTTTTCATTTGTGAGAAGTGCCTTGGTTATAAAGTGATGGATTATACATTTTTTTTATTGTCTGGTAATGTTTCTGATTACAGTATACGAGTATTTATGTTGAGAAAAGTTTCGATAAATTTACTGCATACAGGATCATCTTCAAAAAAAATTTAAGCTATTTAGGTTATGACTACAGTGAAGCAGCTGTCTTTTTAGTTAAAGAAACATTGATGATGTCTGTACAAGTGAAGAGGAAGTAAGCAAGGAGTGATTGTGTGTTGGTGGGGCTGGCTGGAGTACACAAGAAATATGAAAATTAAATATTGACAGGATAGTGTATTAATGAAAATTTTATAATACTGTAGTTTACTTCACATCATTCAGTATGGGTATGGCTAAAGAAAAGCCGTCAGTGTAAGAAAGGGCAACTCATTTCATGGGTCAATCTTACGCTCAACTGTGGAAAAATTCTGTTCAACCAAGCACTTTCTTTTTTCTGCCTACTTTGCAAAAAACATTGAAATGATGTACTGGTACACACACAAAAAAATAATTTCTTGTGATAAAAGAGACTGCATCAACTTAAAAAGAAAAATTATTCTTTCTTCACTACATTATTTAACTTTTTTGTTGGGAACTGATACCCTTGTTTGTGTGCAATGAAACACATAAGCCACCTTCATATAAACATCGACATTTATACTGACAGTTGTGTGTTGCCAAATATTGTAATCTTACTCAAATTTATGTGTTTTGATTTGCAGATCCTTATGTTATGTTGGTCTGTTTTGATACACAGGTCCACATGTTATAGTAAAGTACCAGAGGACAGAGGTGAATGCAAGTGAGCTCTTACAACTGGCCCTCCTTGATTGTACTGCTATCTCATGCACAGTAGACCCAGTTTTTATAAGACAAGCATTGAGATATTTTTTTCAGTTGTTTTTGGCTGGTAATTATTTTCACCGTGCATATTACTGCTTTGATCATTGAAATTTTAAAATAAAACAAATACGTATACTGTACAGTAGTATGTGAGCAGATGAAGAGGAAGATGCACTCCACAGTGCTTTGTTTACTCTGGCTCATCTTTAATTATAATTATATCTTGCAATAATAATCATGGATTGATATTTTCATTAATGGGCAACCTCTAGAGAACTGCTCCATGATAAGGGCACCTGAGACCTTTAATGCTGCCAAACATACTGCTGGAACATGCATCATTTATGCTAATGCATTGGTAGCTTTGTTCTGGCCTGGCAGGAGTTGCTTTCTTTTACCATGTACCCTGTGACTGAAGCTTCTTCCTATTCCTTTTATTGTTCTGTCACATGAGCTAGGATCATCTAGGATTTATTTATTTTTTAAAACATTGTAAAAGGTGTAGGGAGATTTTAATTTAGTTGTTTGTGGAAGGTTTGTTGTCATTAGAAGGGAACTTTGTTTTTAGAACCTTTGGTCTTGAGTTCATGTTTATTATGTCCTTTTCTCCCTCACCAACATGGCATGAACATGGGTCACTTAGAGATGTTGTCCACTCTCTTGTTTGTCTGGATATGTTGTGTGGAGCCCTGGATTCCATAGGATGTGTTCTCTCAGAGAACTCAGGATAATATCAAGTCTGTTTAGTAGGGGTGTCAGTGCGTACAGTCGACCCTCTTTAAAACGGACTAATAGGGGGGAGAAGGGTGTCCGTTTTAGCCAATTGTCCGAATTAATCGATTTAGGGGTTAATATTGCATTATACAGGTTGACAACCCTTTATCCAAAATTCCAAAAACCGAAAGTTTTTTTTTTGTGGGGCATTTTTTTTTTATTTATTTATTTTTTTTTTTTTAAACCGGAATTAGCCCATCCGGGCATAGATCACTGACCCACATCAGGGCCTGGGGGGCGAAAATGTAATAGTAATAATAATTATAATAATAATTATTCATAGTAAATAAAATTTTTAATAAAAATACACCAAAATAAAATAATATGATAACATTAATAAAAATAATAATGATAATAATAAAATATAATAATAAAATTAATAAAAATAACAATAATACAGGAGTACTGTAATAATGAAAAAAACAAAACAAAAACTAACCATTCTGAAAACCGAAAAATTCCGAAATCCGAAATGCCTCTGGCCCCAAGGATTTCGGATTATGGATTGTCAACCTGTACAGCTATGTGTATGTTAATTGAGTGCCCCGTCATAGGAGTCCGTTTTCTCTTATTTCAGGATGCCTGAGTCCTCCGTTTTCTCTTAATCTTGGAGTGCAGTGCACCAGAGACTTTGTTATTCCTTAGTAATGACACAGAATTTGATATTGCAACTGGGGTTGCAATTGTTGAGGCAACTTAGGTATGTCTGATTACAGTTGGAATTTGCAAGAGATGTTTAAAGCTTCAACTGTCTTTATGGTTGGTAAAACTTGTCAAGTATGTCAGTCTGAGTGGCATGTGTGAGGCCTTGTGTTTGTACAACCGCTAAATATGTAATGTTATGGTAATTATCAGAAACACACATAGGCATGACTAGGTTTATAACAAAGTGATGAAAATTATACGATCAATACTGTACAGTGGGTAGCCCACAAAACATGTAGCCACGTCTCTTTATTTGAGTGCCCCGTCATAGGAGTCCGTTTTCTCTTAATCTTAGAGTGCAGTGCACCAGAGACTTCATTATTCCTTAGTAGTGACACAGAATTTGAAATTGCAACCCCAATTGCAACTGGGACAATCCCAGAACCAGAAATTTGATACGGACAGTTCAGATTTCGTCCGATTTATCTGAAATCCGGATTAAAGGGGTCCGAATTAACGAGGGTTGACTGTATTTAAATTTCAAGTGAAGTACATCCTCCTCACTCCTGGGTATAGTTGGCTTTGTATTATGAGAGCTCCCCTGCTGAAAATGATTACTAAATGGAATGGAAGATTGGTCATGCAATTCCTTTTACATGTAGAATGCAAACTTCGGCAACTTGGAAACTGCCACTTTCCATAGTTTTATGACTGGAGTGGTGGATCAGAACTGGGTTAACTCAGATTCATTCAGACTAAGTCTGATTTGCTTCACTGTTCCAGTGAGTGATTAGTGGGGTACTTCTGGCTTAGACCTTTAAGTTCTTTGTTGTACAATGGATAAGGAAGGATAATTTCTGAATCCAAGGGATGAACAGATTTGCAGTGACTGACACGGGGGATTCTGTCCAAGGACTCTTGGAAGTTGCCCAGTATTACAAGTCCCATTTAACTGGGTTTTACAAGAAAAGGGGAATTTCAGGATCACTCCTTATACAGTGTATGGAAAACTTTGTTGGATATTGAAAAAAAAACTTTCTGATTTCATGTCCCGTAACAAAAATAAAACTACCATTTACTTGTACCTTGGGCAATCAAGGCTAACCTATGTATTAATGTCATGAAATTTATTTTGCAGTTGACTTGAGGACAGGCAGTGAGCGGCAGGGATGGCGGAGGCACACTCTGCAGTGGCATTCTCCTTTGCCATCACTCATGAGGGTGTTCATGTAAATTATGACAGAGAAGTGCTTCATGTCATTTGGCATTCTGGTGTTCGCTCCTGGCGGCGAGGTATCCGCCGATTTGTTGTGAGTTATCCTGTTTTATTTCTCATGTTAATTGATCAGAGTAGAAGTGATTTTTTTTTATACTGGGATTAGCCCACCCAGACACAGGTCACTGACCCACAACGGGGCCTGGGGGCAAAAATATATTAATAATAAAAGTTAATAAAAATACTGTAAATAAATTTTTCAATACAAAATAATAATAATAAAGAACCATAAATAAATACAAAAATGAAAAAAAAGATCACGGGTGAGAAACTATATACAGTATGTATGTTGTGTTGTCAATAGTAAGAGAAACAATTGAGACCCTGCAATTGTGTGTAAATGAGGCAGAAAGTCAGATTAGCAACTTGGGACTTGGTCACAATTTTTGTGATGCCATATGGCAACACATTATGCTTCCAATATCTTCACAGTTGGTAGTTTAATAGCATTACTCTTACTGAAACTAAGGAGAAAAACTGGCAATAAATAAAAATTTGTAACTGTAGTGCCCTTGTGTGTGTGTGCAGCCAGGTTAAGAGATATGTAATACACATTGTTGTATGTTATATGTAAGTATAAATCTGTAAGAGCAGAATGGTCAGTAGTATGTAAACAGTGTAGGTATGTAGTGTACTTTCTGCTTTGGTATGTAATTGGAAAAGTGGCTTACTGGGCAATAAAGTAATTAAGATATCAGAGAGTTCCGGTATGTAATTTTGAAAGTTCTGTGATTGATAATGTGAAGAGTGAAACAATGAATCAGACAGACTAAATACCAGGTACAGTACAGTACATTATTAAAAAAAAAAGGCTATGAAAAGTACAGTATGTATGAGACAATACTCGTTCACTTCAGCAGTGTTCTATGATAGCGGGGCCTCCGCTAACTAGGTGGACCTTTTAGTGATGGTGATTATATGGGACAGGTACCTAGTCACTTGCAGATATGAGTCACAGATGGGGAATTATTCTCAGTGTAGAGGTGTTTGTTAAGTACCGTATACAGTCAACCCCCACTTTACTCGGTCCCACATTCCGCGTTTCCACGATTACACGGTGCCCTGCCAGAACCCAGGATGCTCACATTCTGCGGTGGGTGTACCCCTTTACACGGGTGAAGTATAATTTTTTTATTTAGCTCATAAAATTCATACAAATTACCCGGCCAGAATATAATTTACATTGCTGGAATTCTTACAATTTGATGATCATTTTGAATATAAACATCGTAGATTTTGCATGACATACAAATTTTAGATATAATGTTTACTCTGAGTAAATATGGTATCTTTTGTGCAAAATATATGACATTTATATTCAAAATATTCCTGGTCTTACAAGGAATCCAGCAATGTCAATTATATTATCCTAACTTTAGTCTGATTTATTATTTATTACTAAAAAGGTAAACAGTCTGGTATTCCCACACATTTATCTAGTAGGGACGGTTGGTGGGGGGTGGGAGGGAGGGAGGGACCGGCGACCGACCATCTGTTACCGTGTGAAGAATATTTTTTTTTTATTAACTGAAGATTTTTATTTCAGCTCATAAAACTCATACAAATTACCCGGCCAGAATATAATTTACATTGCTGGAATTCTTACAATTTGATGATCATTTTGAATATAAACATCATATATTTTGCATTAGACATAAAATTTTTAGATATAATGTTTACTCTGAGTAAATATATTATCTTTTGTGCAAAATATATGACATTTATATTCAAAATATTCCTGGTCTTACAAGGAATCCAGCAATGTCAATTATATTATCCTAACTGTAATCTGAGGTATTATTTAATACTAAATGTTAAAATCTAGTTTTTTCACCCACTCTTTCTCTTGAAGGGAGGGTTGGTGGGAGGTGGGGGGGAGGGTTGGGACAGACTGAGCCATCTGGCTGGTTGGAAGAGGGGGGAGGCAAGGTGGGGTACTTTGATTGACAGATAGTGTCGTGAAGAATATTTTTTTTTTATTAACTGAAGATATTTGTTTTAGCTCATAAAATTCATACAAATTACCCGGCAGAATATAATTTACATTGCTGGAATTCTTACAATTTGATGATCATTTTGAATATAAACATCATAGATTTTGCATTAAACATACAAATTTTAGATGTAATGTTAACTCTGAGTAAATATGTTATCTTTTGTGAAAAATATATGACATTTATATTCAAAATATTCCTGGTCTTACAAGGAATCCAGCAATGTCAATTATATTATCCTAACTTTAGTTTGAGGTATTATTTATTACTATACCTGGTTTTCCCCCCAAAATTTCTGAGAGGGAAGAGCCAGTGAGTGTAGTGTGAGAAGAGGGGGAGGGAGTCGAGTCCATTATTTGAATGGACATTAGCTTGGCGACTGTATTTCTCTATTTCTCTTAAGTATTAATTGTGTGCATATACCATCATAAAATTAAGATGTTATTTTTACTAGAACATAGGTATTGTGTTGGAAAAAGTGGAGTTTGGGGGTCAGCTGGTCTCTATTTCATTTAATCCCATATGTTATGTTATTCACTTTACGCGTTTCTCACTTTCCGCGGTACCCTGTGGGTTACATTAACCGCGTAAAGTGAGGGTTGACTGTATACTCGTCTATAACCCCCCCCCCTTTGTTTATAGGTCGACCCTGATTTTTTGACCAAGAAATCGTTAATTTATGATATTCCTCGTTTATAGGTCGACCCACGTTTTTGAGGGTAATGGAACAACAAAACCTTCAGTAAAAACGCTCTACGTCCTATAAACTGAAGCTCGCCGTGCCCGAAACACCGAGTGCCTAAGGCAAATTGTTTACCATTTATTATTACGACACGACACTTTACACCACTTTACACTGAAACGCGGGTAGTTTCGACAAAAATATTGTATATTTCCATTCAAGTATTTATTCAAGTCAATTAGGAGGGAATATTATTGTAATACAACAGTTTTTTCACTAAACCATTCAAAAAGCGATTACGGTGACATCTTTTGAACGAAAGAAAGCGAAAGTCATTGTTTTCGTCACGATTTTATCCCACTTTCCACTGTAATACGTACGTAATTTCAGCAAAAATATTACATTTCCGTGAATGCAATATATCAAGCACAGTATGAATAGAATATCATTGTAATATAACAGAATTTTAACCGAAAACTATTAAAAAACGAGTAACATCTCAAGAACATCGGAAGTTTAGGTAAAGTCTTTTGTTTTCGTCATGTATTTTATCCTATTTTACATTGAAATACATCACGTTTCAGCAAAACTACTATTTATTTCTGAGAATATATTCATTCAGGCGCAGGTTAGGTAAAATATACGTGTGATGTAATAGTTTTTTAACTGAAAACGATTAGAAAAACACGTAGCCTCTAGCCCTGATCAAGGAGAGGACTGGGAGAAGCTGTTTGGTGCTGCAGACGATGACAAGGAAAATGATTTTGATGGATTTTAATGAAAATATTCTGAAATATGGTATCGTAGTATTTATTCAAGTCATTTAGGATAGAATATTATTGTGATACAACAGTTTTTTAACTGAAAACCAATCGAAAAGCGATTACGGTAACATCTTTTGAACGAAAGAAAGCAAAAGTCATTGTTTTCGTCACGATTTTATCCCACTTTCCACTGTAATATGTACGTCATTTCAGCAAAAATATTACATTTCCGTGAATGCATTATATCAAGCACAGTATGAATAGAATACCATTGTAATATAACAATATTTTAACCAAAAACTATAAAAAAAAACGAATAACTTCTCTTGAACATCGGAAGGTTAGGTAAAATCTTATGTTTTCTTCATGTATTTTATCCTATTTTACATTAAAATACATCACGTTTCAGCAAAACTACTATTTATTTTCGAGTATATATTCATTGAGGCACAGTTAAGGTAAAATATACATGTGATGTAACAGTTTTTTAACTGAAAACGATTCGAAAAACACGTGTACCGTTTAGCTGATACACTCAACAGCTGGTGGTGCGTGATGCGTCATGCGTCGTTGTAAACAATAGGAGGTTGAAGTAGATTACCGGGTATTATATTAAGTGTGAAAAATAGAAAAGGTTTTTATTACCGGTATTTTTTGTAGATCAATGAGAACTGTGATACCGTATATGATAAGATAAGTTAGCCTGTGCTAAGAACTTCAACATAGACTACTGAAAGCGCGTTGTAAGGTAATTTAGCCTATTGTAAGTTGGTGAGCTTGATTTGCTGAAGGAACTGCACAACTTTTCATTACTAATTGGTACATATTTTACGTTACCATTGTTTACTGGCAGTAAATGGTAAATATTTTTCATGTCCGAAGCTAAAAGTTGCTCCTCGCCCTTCCCATCATGCACGGGTTCAACCTAACAAAACTATTACGCTTGTATACTGTAGGACGACCCCCAATTTTTGGCCTAAAAATTTGGTCCTAAAAACTCGAACTATACACGAGTATATACGGTATATAGGGACAGTTTGTGTTTGTTAAGTGAGAGGATTAGAAATAGATGTGGTGAAGAAAGACAACAAGAGTGGAGCTGTTTCAGAGGGACCAATTTATAACTCTTTTAGTCATGTGAAGATTATGATGTATGGTAAATGTTTTGCTGTAATGTTCTTGATTGTACTGTATAGAGGATGTTCTGTAAAAAATAATTAACTTTGTAGCACTAAGAAACTTGTATAGTATAGATAATTACAGTAGCCTTGGGTTATCCTGTTAGATAGGGACCGAGAACATTCACAAAGAAAATAATTGCAATATAAAGATATACAGTATATATAATCTAATACAAAATACAGCTCCTCCCCGACTTACGACGGGGTTAGGGACCCAAATCCAGGTCGTAAGTCGAAAGTGCTTAAATAATACATAGAAAATCTAAAATGGGTGTCTCTTTTTTTCTTCTCAGCACCACAAAACTCTCACTTTTAAGCTTGCCAGCCATTTTAAAGTGAATTACAAACAAAAAAATTTTTCAGTACACAGCGCAATCACTGACGTTGGGACTCAAAAATACGTAATTTGACAAAATTTTGGTACGACTGAGGTAGGTCGTAAGTCGGGGAGGAGCTGTAAAGGGTTAGGAACCGGAAACCCACAAATTCATCAGACAGTTTTTAAAAGGCTTATTTGCTTATAAAAAAAATTACAGCATTCTGGAGGACCATGGAAAAATATAGAGAACTGTACAAAACCAAGAAAATTAAAAAAATGTCTCACAGATATGGCGATACAGTAATTCAGTACTGGATGATGGTTTTGCATGTTAACCAATAATTTAAGGAAATATTTCTATTGAAGATATATGAATGCATTCTTACCTCATGAAAAGCCCCAAAATATCGGAAGGAATGAGTTTTTCTTTGTACTGTATTATATTAAAAAATAAAGTAGATGAAACTAAACCTACCCTAGACATAAACATTAGAGCTGTTGGGTCATAGTGTGCATGGCCGTGCATTCGTTCAGGATGGATTTAAATTTTTTTTTTTTATATAATGGGTGGGGGTAAGAAAGCATTTATGTTATACCTGTACTAGTATACAGTAGAAAAATTTCCTCAAGTTGTGGAACTTTCATCCAGTACAGTACAGTATTACTGTTTCAGTGTATATACAGTACAGTACAACTGAATCAGTTCCTGATGCTATAAGCCTGTTTATGTCAGCACAGCTACAAAAATGAAACCGAGATTTCTAGCATACTCAAATAGACAAACCGAAGATTATTTGTGTGTTTCTTGAACACTTGAATAAACCAAAAAATATTTTTATGGGGTTCTTGCATTCACCTCTATCATTTTGTCAGTTCTTCCTTTGCTTATTTTATGTCACAGCTGTGTCAGCACATACAGCCTCTCTAGTGAGTCATGCAGCATGGCTCGACATGATAAATGAAGCTCTGTGAACGTTTGATGTGCATTTGCTGTCACATACTGGCATGCCATCTTTCTCAAGCAACCAACCTAGAATTTCCATTGCCTCCACCTAAGTCATTAGACCACCTAGTGTAGCTTTATGTTGTTACATGCTTGCTTACCCACTCTTCAATGCATCCTCCATTTCTTGGTACAATGGCAGTATTAAATGATGGATGAATATGCATATGTTGCTCAAATCTTGTCAGCTTTTGGTCTAGTGCTGTAAATTGTACTTTCATTTTCTTGTAGTAGTCAAGTTCATCAAAACTTAACTTTCTCTAATAGATTAAACATCATCTTTCTCTTCTTTTTATCACTTGAACTGGAATGAGAAGCATTTGGTGAGCATTTTGACATCTTGGTAAGTGGTGTATGTGATAAATTCGAGGGGAACTGTGGGAGCAAGTGTCCTTGACTTTGAGTGAGAACTGACAGTGTGACACCATGACTGCAGCTGGGGAAGTGTGTATGTGTGATAGTTGTATTGGCATGGCTGTTGATTTAAAATGCATCCAACTTGGCTTTTCTCTCTCAAAAAATCTCGGTATACTGTATTGTATTGTATATGAAAATGGCATATGTAGGCTAGATATGCTGGTGCCTTAGCTCACTTTTCTACTGTGTGCATATTGAACGAAGTTGGAACCATGCCTCAGCATATTTATGTACTGTATAAAATATTATTAAGAAAGAAAAAATTCCTTATAATTCTAGTTTTTTATATATATTACAGTACGACCAATATGTTTTATTATTTGTTTGTAGTTAACTACATTCAAGATTTATTAATGATGTTCACAATTACAGAACAATATAAGATGTGGGGTCTTCCCAGCATCTCTCTCCTCACTGGCATTGACTGTGGGTGGCTACAATGCTATGTATCTCAGCCGAGACTTGTATGGGACCAATTTTGATATTTCATTGGGACTGGCTGACCTCCTGAAGAAGCATGTCAAACTGTAAGTCAAAAGAATGTAATTTTTTGAGACCCATATATCTTTAGTTGCTGGAATTATGGATTTAGGGATCTTTATAGACATTTTAAGTGTAAGTATATATATATATATATATATATATATATATATATATATATATATATATATATATATATATATATATATATATATATATATATATATATATATATATATATATATATATATATATATATATATATATATATATATTATTTTTTTTTTTTGTGTGTGTGTACTGCAGACATCCTAATTGGATAGTCATATATCATGAGGGATCTTACAAATCTATATAAGCATAATACACTTTAGTACAGTATCACATTCTAAATTTAGATTAATTCAATGATACAGTATAGCCATTTTTGATGTACAGTATACTGTACATTTGAAAAAATGTTTTTACTACAACATAGTTGTGCAGGTATATTCTGGTACAGTTATATTCTGGTACAGTAATATAGCAACTTTAATGCTCTTCGGCAAGTGTTGGATTTGGCTAAATGTAAGACTGACCAATAAATTGATTATTACCTAATTTAGCATGTCTGACACACACACACACACACACACACACACACACACACACACACACACACACACACACACTGTATGTTCACTGTATGTTCCTTTACCTTTCTCTAATGAAGGCTTTTGCTAAACCACCAATGTATGTAATAAGTCATTTATGTCCAATGTATATTTTCAGCCTTCGGGCTGCAGAACTTTTTCAATAAACCGTTAATTATTATTATTTATTATTACACACACACACACACACACACTCTCACTCTGTTAATCCATTGTAATGAGTTATTGTATTTGTTTTACAGAGAAGAACCAGCTAAAGGGATTGTTTGCTGTACAGCATCTGCATTTGCTGTGTGGTGTGGAGTCTTTTTATTTATGAGGTATACGCTAAGGCTTCTGTATATGTACAAAGGTAGGTACTTTTTTAATTCTGTTACTGTATCATAATTTAGATGTTGATTACTCTAAATATCACTTGTTTTTATTTCTCTCCCAGTACTGTATTGTATTGGTTGGGTCAAAGATTACAGAGAACTCTTAGAGGGTAATATTGAAGGGGAGAGTGGGACATGACTGAGGTTATTATTATTTGTATGTAAATATCTGTTTTACAAGTGATATTCCCACATAAAATATGAGTAAGTGGCACAGTATCTGGAAATTGTTGAGCATTGTTTCTGGAGTTAACATTGTATGTAGTGAAGAATTAATGCAGTAAATAAATGGTGTTGTGTATAAAGATGAGTTATGGAAGGCTATATGGAAGTGCTTATGATGTTAACACATACTAAATCCTATCATACCATGCCTTATTATTACTTCTTGAAATCATATCTTGAATGTGCTCAATTAGATACAATTAACCTTGTTACATTCAGTGCCAGCAAATTACCTGTCTTCACTATCATTTAGGAACATCTCCATAATACCAGTTGCCACTGTCAATTTTCTGTCTTACTTTAACTTGTAACCTCTCCTGGCACCACCACATGCCAGTATTGCAAAGTATGCATCTAGCAGCTTGGTCTTTTCTTTATGACTTGAACATATTTGTACAGTACATAACTTCCTACCCTTTACAAGAACCATGCAATTTTCATATGGAACATTGCTCTTGTGTAGAGGGTGGCTCTCCAGGGTCATACTTATCAGTGACTGGTTTCATACTTAAGAAAATAGGAATGGAGGAAACTACAGCGAGCCTATTGGCCCACACTGGGCAGCTCCATTTACACCCAAACCCTATCGCGCATATATACATCCAACCTATATTTGAAGCTGCCCAGTGTGTTCGAGCAACTTGTTCCTCTCATCCATCCACAGTCAGATTTCTTTATATCAAATGTTTTTCATCTGTTATCTGGTTCCTGTATTTACATCTCCTAGGCTAAGTACTTTATATTTTTCCACATTAAATTTCATCTGCCATTTTTCAGACCATGCAAAAAATCTATTTAGATCTTACTGTAGCTTTGCAGAGTCCTCGCCAGATTTAATTACATGCCCTATTTTTAGTGTTGTCAGCAAATTTATTTATGTTGCTTTCTCCTTCTCAGATACTCCACTTCTTCATTTTATTTTCCTATCTTTGTTTCCATGGTTAGAGGGCCTGTGAAATCCAATCTGTCATCCCCACTCTTTTGAACCTCTGTTGCAATATATGTCATTTATTGTCATCATCCACTTCCTTCATTCCTCACACCCTTAGACTGTGGAATTTATTTTCATCTTGCATCTTTGCGAATATTGCATTTCTTTAAATTTATCCACGTGGCATCATGCTAAATACTGTATGGTATATATTTTTTGTCTTAACCATGATAAACTAGGCAAACTTAGCATGGATGTAGATCACTTTGTTGACAGCACTGCACTTCACAGGGTGCACTCTCATCTGTACCTTGCTTAGTCCATCCCAGTTTTATAATAACAATAAGTGATGTGTTTAGTTGTTTTTTGTTTTTATACCTTTTTTTTGAAAATATATAATATGTGAGGGTAAGTTTATGTATAGCTGTAGACCTGGGTGTGTTTGGGTGGCCAAAGTTAAGAATTCATAGCCTTAATCACATATTTTGGTGGGAGAGCTGTCATTGTCCACCGTATGGTTTGGCATGTTGATCAACGAAGTTGACATTACAGCATTATTTAAATTTTACAGGGTATTTCCATAAATATGTACATTACTCTTTTTTTTTCTTCACAGGATGGATGTATGAAGCAAGAGGTCGTGGCAAGACAATGGGCAAAGCCTCCAAACTCTGGGTGCTCGCACTAAAGTCCTTAACTTGGTTTTCAAGGCCTATGCTCTACTCATACCAGGGTGCCCTTCCCAGGTTGCCTCTGCCAGCTCTCGATGACACCATGTCTCGGGTTTGTACTTTTACACCCTAACTTTCTTGGGGTTTCTGTTTGTATATTTATTTCACTTTCAAGCCTTTTCCCACAGTAATAAGATAACCAATATCAAAATCCAAAGTTTTAACCTCATTTTAACCTCATTCTTCTGTATTCAATTTTTCTTGTTGCTGTACAGTACAGTACAATAATAGGTTGGTTCTACTTATGTGCTTTTCACAGCAAAGCCTTAGTATTAATCTGATTTACTCCTTGTGCTTCTCACACCATAGCATTACCCACCTGCAGCACATCCATGCCCAGAAGTCTCGTGACACCATACTTTCCTCTTATTCATACGCCTCTTTTCTAATACTGTACCGTATGCTGTATATTCGTTTATAAACCAATTTCATATATAGTTCGACCCCTGATTTTTTGGTAAAAAAGCCTGAGTTTTTCATATACCTCTTGCACATTTTGACCCTAGATTTTGAGAAATATTAGGTATAGTAACATTAGACTATCTTTGAATGTTTTGAAAGATGTTGGTAAGTGTAGGAGCTTCCAAAATATGACTAGTGTAAACACTGACCTCAGGCTGAGTTCAGTAACAGTTACTTTCTTGAAAAATGCTACAGTTTGGTAAAAATTTTTGTGAGTGCTGAAAATTAAGTTGCAACCCAGTACTGAGTGACTGAGGCCTACCAGTATGGTAAAGCTAAAATCTGATGCTAGTGGTGGAGCTATACTTAGAGGTTGACATTTAACACCTGTTGTATAAGACGACCCCTAGTTTTGAAATCAAGAATTTGAGCTACAAAAGTCAACTTATAAGCTGCAATATACTGGAGTGAAACTAAAAAAGTTGTGGAAAGATCATTACAATACTGTATTCTACTGTGGTTTATAAATAAAGAAACTACAATATAAAACTATAAAAAAAATGAATAGCAAGGAAGTGTATGTGTATGAAGTGAATATATGTGTGGAGGCAGCGGTTGTAACTGCGTCACTGACTTGCCATCCATCTGCGCTCCCTCCCCCAATGTGACCTGACGATGCGCACACACACAGCTCCTGATTTATGTACTGTACAGCCCTGTAAATGTATTCAACGTATATTATGTCTAAATCACATGTAAGTTTGTATATTTTCAGCCACCGGCTGCAACTCTATTAATAAACCGTTTATTATTATTATTATTATTATTATTATTATTATTATTATTATTATTATTATTATTATTATTATTATTACTACATCTTCGAGTCAGCTGGGTGACTGCCGGTCAGAACTGTGGTGCGTTGCCCCGAGGATGGTTTGAGTGTGGAAGGAGTTATTTTTTGTACATAATATATGTGCTATTGTATTTTATGATATACTGAACTATGTATCAACTTTATTGTTTATTATAGCAATTTTTTTTAATTTTTGATGTATGCAATTTGAAATTTGTTCAAATTGGGCTAACCTTTTTGTTCACTAAATCATTTAACTCTAAACTACATCATTTATATAGGAGTTTGGAGTTTATAAATTATTTGTTTATTATTATTATCGGGGAGTACAGTACTTCGTTTTTACCACCCTGCCGTTTGAATCTGATGTTTGCCCTCCGTGCTTTGCTATTAACCTTTATTTAATGGTAATTTTGCTTGACATTAGCTTTTTCAAGAACGACAACCCCATCGTTAGGTGAGGGATACCTGTATTGCCATTTGGCTGTTGGACGACGAAATATTTGTCAATTGTTTCACAGGTCAAAACAACTGAAATTCCACATGCTGCTGACCCCCCTTTCCCCCACTCAGCCTGTTAACTCCTGATTAGGAAGAAATGTTTATTCACTTTGTGTTTGACCCTATGATAATTTTTTTGTGCATACTTTGCACATAGGATTCTGTGTGCATGTAACACAGAATTATGAGTTGAAAAATAACCATAACAGAGCTCACACCTTGGTCTGGTAGGAATGTGGCCACAGTGACTTGTCTAATTTGGCAAAAATACCACCAGCAATGTAAACAGACTCAAACAAAAGGTAAATTATATGTAAATCTTAATTTGTTTCAGGTTTTGTAGATTTTAAGCAGCATATATACGAGGTCTGTCCGGAAAGTATCCAGCCATTTACTATTAAAAAAAATATTGCTTACCTAGGACAATGGCGCCTTAGTCTCCTTCAAAGTACTCCCCTTGGGACCTCACACACTTCTCCCAGCGTCCCTTCCACTTTTCAAAACAGTCTGCAAAGTCCTCTTTCGGGATCTTCATCAGCTGCCTCGTCACATTCTCCTTAATCTCGTCCACGGTCTAAAATCTCCTCCCTTTCGACGGCAATTTTAGCTTTGAGAAAAGCCAGAAGTCGCAGGGAGCCAAATCTGGGCTGTAGGGGGGCTGAGAGACCTGGGTGATGCGATGTTTTGCCAAAAAACCCTGCACGAGACGTGAAGAATGGGCAGGCGCGTTGTCATGATGCTGCCAGTCACCACTTGCCCTCAGCTGCAGTCGTTTTCTTCTTACCGCATCCCTCAGCCGGCTAAGAACTTTGATGTAGTACTCCTTCGTTACTGTTTGGTCATTGTAAATGCGACGGTCACACAGTACCCACGCTCACTCAACGGTGTCTACCGGGCATATTGTGAATGACATTATGCTCTTCATGTAGCAATATAAAGAAAAAATCTAGGGGTATGGTAGCCAAGCCGAGGTTAAAGGAGCGTACTGGTAAGGTTAGCCTACCAGGAGCATGTGCTAGGTAGTTATCATTCACCATAAATTACCCATGGAAATGCATGAATTTTAACTCCTCAAAAATACTTCTTGGTCATCCTCTCTCCCTTGTACAATCATTCTTAATTATACAGTGGAAACCATTTGAATCATTACCTATTTAATGACACTACAGCATACCTCCTCTGTCCCATCACAAAGTAGGAAAAAAAGAGCCAAGTTAGTGTGATTACACTGTACAGTACTGTAAATACAATTACTGCATAGATAAAAAGTGATATGAAATAAATACGGACTTACAGTGTAGGCGAGTTATTGGTATAGAAGTAAAAAATAGGAAAAGAGAACAAGGAAGGATTTATGAGAAATTGGTACTGTATTGTGCTGTGGGAATATTTTGCACTATAGGTACAGTGCTGTATTATGTTAGTTGATAATTCTCCCCCTCCATTTTCAGTACCTGAGGAGTGTGCGACCGCTGATGGATGACGAGAATTATGTCAGAATGGAGAAGCTTGCCCACGATTTCCAGAGTGGCATTGGAAAGAAGCTTCAGCGGTAATGTTTCCAGTTTGCTTTGAAGAAACGTTTTTTTTTAAGGGTTACTGTATACCATAAATTAATTTTTAATCCAAGGTTGTGTTGTCTGAGGAGTCATCTGATCATCAAATTACATATCCATTAGATAATGGTAAAATAAACTAATTACTGTTCAGGAATCTGTGAAGCTATCCATTAAGGCAAATTTTGCTCTATATATACTGTACCATATTATAGCCCTTATTTAGTTCACTAAAATGCAAAACGATACACCAAAAAACTATATTAATCATTTATACTTGTGCTTGATAATTATTAAAAACACATTCAAGCTGTGCCTAGCTTATTTTTACATTAACCCTTTATAATGATAATCAATTTTTCATTTTTATTTTAGGTACCTGGTGCTCAAGTCATGGTGGGCAACTAATTATGTAACGGACTGGTGGGAGGAGTTTGTGTACCTCCGAGGTCGATCACCTATTATGGTCAACTCCAACTTCTATGGTACAGATGCCATTCTTCTCCATCCAACACGTATTCAGGCTGCACGCGCAGCAAATGTAACTCATGCAGCTTTCCTGTTCCGGCGGCTCATTGATAATCAGCAGCTTTCACCAGTGAGTCTTCTCAGTGTGTTAATTTGAACTACAGTATATAACCTTGTCCGTATATTTGTTTATGCGGGGTTGTGTTGTATGATAAGTGTACGAAAGGGATATCTTTGGTCCTTTTTTTGGAAAGGTAACACCGTTATTGAATGCATCTTGTAAGGTAGTTTGTGAGAGTGAATGAGGGTAAATGCAGGGTAAATCTGTGGTTATTCTTGATTTTGGCAATCTTGCATCATAGTAGGAAAAGGTTTGCAGGAGTGACAAATTCTAGTTTTGAAATATGAGTTTCAATAATGGGTTACATACATTATTTGTGGAAATTTTTGAATTGTTAGTTATAGAAATAAAAGCACAAGACCATATAAAGAAGTTGTAAAGTAAAGCTTGATTAACTTATTTCTTTAACCTCTCATTTACTGTATTGTATTATATTTACAGATCATGGCTCAGAATATGGTGCCATTGTGTTCGTATCAATATGAGCGCACATTTAACACCACACGTATCCCAGGCATCCAGACAGATAAGATTGTCCACTTCAGTGATGCTACACACATTGCTGTGTACCATGCAGGACGATTCTTCAAAATGCCATGCTACTATAAGGGCAAGCTGCTTACTCCCAAGGAGCTCCAAATGTAAGCTGTTGAAGTTATAAGTAATGTGTTGTTTCTACTATATAGCTCATAGATGGTCAGGAATGTATTAAATATTGAAGATTGCTTATGTGCCTAGCTCTTGCAAGAGGTGTTATGATATGATGGCACCATCTAGCTGTACATCCATACATACATACATACATACATACATACATACATACATACATACTATATTTCTGGTTCAATCAAATTTGTTAACAGGATTATGCAAAAGTGTCCAATCCAGAGTAATGAAACTTTTATGTACAGTAGTTTTTAATGTGAACCCTTATGTAATATGATTGTACAGTGGTCCCTCGGTTAACGAATGCCTCGGTTAATGAAATTTCGGTTAACGAACTGCCTCCCATAAGATTCTTAAATTCGGTTAACGAATTTCTTACGAACCGACCTCAACATGTTTTCGCTTGCACTGGCCGGTCAACCAGCTTTAGTATTAGTCCGCCAATACATTAATCGGTTCTAGGGCTTAAATTCCTTACTATTTTAGTAAATATTAAGAAGTTTATACTATTCAATAATTTTAAAAGTTTAATATTAACTTTTTTAGTCATTTTAACAATTATTGGACATAATTGAAGGTAAAGAAACTAGTTTCTGGCGTGCCATCCAGCCTGTTAACACACCAGACAGGCGTTAGTCTCTCTCTGTTTTCACTGGAGGTAACATCTTGCTTGAGACTCTTCATCTAAATGCTTTTTTTCTGTGTTTCCAAGCAAATTATTGGTCATTTTGAAATATATTTTACATATTGACAATATATAATGCAGTGCAGTGTTGATTTAAAGAAAATAATCTTGAAATACACCAAGAGAACTAAAATTTTATGGGTGAAATGGTGCCATGGGGTGACTTCTCTTCCACCCCAATGCCTTCTCTTCTTCCTTCTCCACCTCCCACTTCAAATGCACATCATCATCATCATCCAGGAGCCTTCTAGATACACACCTCAAAGTAAGTGAACTTTTCTACCATTTTTGTTGAATTTAGGCAATTTTCGGTGAGCTGGAACCAATTACCCAAAAACCCATTGAAACAATGGTTTCGGTTAACGAATTTTTCGGTTAACGAACAACCTGCTGGAACGGATTGTGTTCGTTAACCAAGGGACCACTGTACTGTATTCACAATTAGTCTATTTGAATTTTGTATCAGTGGAGACATGTTTTAAAGCACAACTTAAGTTCTGCATGCATTTGCCATTTCAAATATCTCAAATATCTCAAATAACTTGTACTGTTTGCCTTACAGACAATTTGAGCGTATTCTGGCAGATGAAAGTGTGCCAGAAAAGGGTGAAGCAAATTTAGGTGCATTGACAGCTGGTGAACGGAAACCTTGGGCTGAAGCACGTACAAAGTTCTTTAGCAAAGGAATCAATCGTTCATCGTTGGAAACAATAGGTAAGATTTTTTGTAGAAAACTCAAGGCTAATGCATTAAGCCTGTTTTAGTTGAGTGGAGTTATTAAAGAAAATAGTGGAAATTAATTAAAGCTTATTACTGCTCTAAGACATTGTGCATTAAAGAGTTAATGAATTTCATAGGATCTGAGGTGTTTAGGGACTGAAGTAATGCTTGTACATTTGACACCATTTAATTTTCTTTCAACTTTATAGGAATGACAAATCTGAATTGTAATATTGCTATATTTAACCCTTTCGCCGGCTGCTTGTACAGCCCAGATCTTGCCTGCAGACCGGCCGATGACACTATCTGCATCATCCAAAATGATTTGATTTTGCAATCAGTTTATTTTTCATTTACCATTTATGGGTAAAATTATGCTATTTTTTTATTTATTTATTTTTTTATTAAAAAAGATAAAATATCTGATTGTTATAAAAGAACAAATAGTTGTATAAATGATATGGGATGGCTGAAAATGATTGTGGAAATATATATTATGTGTCGAATCCCTGCGTGAGTGGTCTGGCCAGTGTGAGCACTCGGGGTCACGGGAGACAACTCTCTCCCCATGGCCTGTGTAGTGACACAAATAAAGTGTATTTGGCCGGCAAAAGGGTTAATGTTTCAATGCAAGAAACTTCAGTTTTCATAAAGGTGGCCATTGATAAGGCTGTAGTACTGAGCTGTCTTTCAGTTGTTTTATATATTTGTAACAGAGAAGTCTGCCTTTGTGCTTGTCTTGGAAGAGGATGATTATGACTACTGTGAAGATGATCCAAGTCAGCTGGACAGGTTCGGACGAGCTATGCTTCATGGCAAAGGTTATGACCGCTGGTACGACAAGTCCTTCAACGTCATTGTGATGAAGAATGGCAGGGTAAGGTGCAAGTTGTTTATATACTAGATACTGTATCTTAGTACACTTCCCTGCTGGATACTTACACCTGCAAGTATTGTTTATACTGACTCACCTAACAGTTGACACATCAGTATTGACATTACCACTAATGAGTCTCTTTTTAGTTATTTTGGGGATAGAGTAAGATTAATCCCTATCACTTTGCTGTGTTTTTACATAAAAAACCCGACTTCGTGTATGTGAAGTAGCAGAAGTCATCTGAAAAACAAACTCTTTTTAATTGAAATATGCATGGCTTCAAAATTTTAAAATTCATAGAAAGCATGACAAAAAAAGGGTACTTTTGTGTCATGGATGTGATACAGTATTTCAGTCATATTGACAGTCAGACCTTCAAAATTGTAATTCTCCCATACTTATGTTTATTTTGACATCTGGTACACCAATTTTTTCTGAACTTAACAATGTACTGTATATATACACTATTATATTTTTTGATACGTAAAAAATTGGAAATTACGGGTTATATTTTCTAATTACTTTATTTTTATTTTAGATTGGTTTTAATGCAGAACACAGCTGGTAAGTATTACAGTAAATATAAAGAAATGAGTGGTATGATTAGTTATATTACAGCCCCCTACTTAAAGTTTTCTGAGAGCTCCATTCATAGACTTTGCCCTGTCATTTCTTACATGCATTAATCACTTAAACTGTACAGTAGATGTATTAATTTTTAAGGATAGATGTGTATAAACTAGATGATCATAGCTGTTCATATACATAGTCAATCCCCTCAAAGGCAGAGTTACCTGTATAAATTTTCCAAAATCATCATTTTTGCATTAATCACAAAATAATTTATGCAAAGTGTGGTTCTCATGGCACTTCATATGCCTGTGCTATTGATACAACTACATCATCCCATTTTTATTTATTCTTCACTGTATTCTCACGAAACATGACCTCAGCTCTTGCCTAAACTAAACTACATCAACATTCTGTTCCATATCATCAAGATATCTCGGAAACTGGTATCCTGCATTAGTACACTACTGTACATAACACTCCTACCTGTAATTTGCATCCATTCACATATGTTATCTATGATCTATACTTTCAAATAACTCATCCTGCCTCTTTACCTGTCTACCTAGACATGGTTTGTGGAGTGTTGTCATCTCCATCTATCTGGTTCTCGTTTTCCATTAGTTTTGGTTTCATCTAATCAATCTTTGTAAACTAACAAACTATTAATATTGTTGGCTGAGTACTTTTATTGTACCTATTTGTGCCTATCTTATATTACAAAAGAGGACTAACTGTTTAATCCACAGTCACTTCTGAATCATACTTACTGAACTTAAGCCCCTTACATACATTGTCTTACCATGGTAGGAGTACTTTTCACTTATGACTAAAATGACTGTAGGAATCTTATTTTGTCAAAGAATTTCCCCACTTCCCTTATTCTTTTTTTCTTGTAGATTATTTGTATTCTTTGGGCATTTCTGTACTTATGCCTGAATTATGTGTGAACTTTCAAAGATCCACAGACACATCACATCTTATAGCTAAAGATGTGTACGGTCTCCCATTTTACCTATTGATGTTACTTTCTAGAAATTTCCTCTAGCATTTATAATTTTCATTTGAGAGTGAAAATAGCAGTTATCCTAATATCTCTAATTGGTAATTATAATATTGCCTTGTTCTCAAGTTGATGGAACGAGTAACTGTACTTGGAGTACTGTATTGCATAAAAATTTTACTTTTGATAAAATGCTTTAAATTGGAAAATAACTTATTGACTACACTTATTTTGCCTTTACCTGTAAAGTGGCTGATATCACACGAGGCATATCTTGTCCAGGTTATACGTTCTTGTAGACAACTAATTTTTATATTTTTATTTTTATAGTTAATCTTGGCTGTTCTTTAGTAATGACCATAGACTATAAGTTAATTTTATCAACTTTGCAACTGTTTATAGAGATTATCCAGTTAGAAACTGACATTAGTTTTAAAGAAAATACTTGCTTTTACCTTTCCACTCATTGACACATAAATGCATACACAAAAAGAAAGTTTTTCTCACTGTCTGTGCTACCTACCAATCCCTCCCTCTCCCTCCTCCACCCATGGCAACTACATGTATCCTTTTTATTATACTGTAGTGTATACCAAATTCACCTTGCATGAGAATTATGTTTCATATACAGTAGCCATTTAGTTTGACAAAACATTATTTTATGGCCTACAAGTCCCAGAACAAGGCATGGCCATTGTTCTACACGTACGTATCAGTGAAATATTGTCTAAACCTGTCACCTAATAAAATGGTATTTATTGGTATCCAGCTGTGTTAAAAGGCTTATAAATCACTCAGCTGACAGCCCAGTTTGTGGTGGTCAGTCTGATATTGAACAAGTAAACAGAACAGGCGGGCCACTCAGAGAAAGAGGTAATAAAATAGGTAAATACAGTAAATGCAATACTCGCCCCAACACAAGAGAAAATCTGATTAGGCCTAGTGGGATATAAGAGTGTCATAATTAAGACTAGTGCCATATCAGAGCAATTTCAGTCTCCCAGCTTTTCCTACTGTGATGGAGATTAAAGGATGTACCTGGTATGTCCTTCTGATGTGTTGCTTGGTGTAAGAGGAGGTACCTTTTGGGGTCAAATTGTGCCATTTACTTTATATTTTCATGTTGGTAGTGATCTTTTGCCATGCAGTATTGGTATCCCTCAAATTACAGAAGGGCTGTATTCTTGATAAGTTGTCTGTAACTCAAATTCTGTTTGCACAACTCTGGCTTTTTGAGGCAAAGCAGTATCGTGTTTAAAGTGTCACCATTGCTAATCACTATTTCAAATGATGAGCATATATTTTGGCAATCTCTCTCTGATCTGTGTAGAACAGATGGCCATAAAATGGGATTCCCAGGTTTGATTTTGTCATTAAATTCCTTAAGATCTATGTCTCTACTGTTCTCTTCCTGCAACATTACAGCTCTCCCTACCTTCTAGTGAACCATAGACTATCTCTTATATTTCTCATACTTTTTGTCCTTTTATTTTCTGCCCATTATTCCTGTATTGTACTTCAATATCTTCCTCTCACAATCTGCAGGTGAACATTTAATAGTGAAGATAATCTCCTACTACCTCTTCTTTGTTTTTTCTTATGAACTCCTGAACATTTGCAGGGCAGATGCAGCGATCATGTCCCACCTCTGGGAGTATGTCCTAACTGAAGACCTGATTACGATTGGGTGAGAGTGCCTTCCATTATTATTATCTGGTGATCGTGTATACGGTTATGGTAAAATCTTTTATCATACTCAGGAATGTGGTATAATTTTGATCTTCAGGCAGTTGGTTCTTGTGTGATATATTGTGACCTCTGAATTGGAGGGTGTAATTATCTTAAATGTGGAATTAGTTAGATTGATTTTCCAGAATGGAGTATTTTATCCTACATATATGAGCTGGTCCAAAACACTATTCCAAGCTGTCATTTTTGTATTGAGAGTAGTTAATGATTCTTACAAAATTGGAGAATTAGAAAAATGATAAAGTAATCACATCTTTATTTCTCTCTCAGAATTCTATCAAGGGGATCGAGGGTTACAGAAACATCGAAGACGAGGGTAAATAAGATGAGAAAATAGTGTAAGACAGACACAGAGAGTGACAGGAAAGGGCTAAAGCAACAAAACCTTTAAATTTTTTAATAATATGTATATGCTTTTAAAGAATCCAAACGATATGGTAGTCATTAGGTTCACATTGTATCTCTTTGGTTGGAAGTATACTGTACATTATTTATATCATATTCCATATAATTAAGAATGGTATATTATTAGTAAAACGATAGGATACATTGTTCATTCGTGAACTAAATGTACCACTTTTAATGCAGTGTTTTAATAATATGAGGAAATGTAAATGTACAAGAGACTAGATGTACTGTACAATCAAAGAAAAAAAGTTGTGTTACACCCTCTAGTGTTTTGATCTGAAACCCATGGTGAAGAATTTGGGTAAAGTGACAACGAAGCTTTGAAGTTCGAGTCTGAGCGGGGAACTTACCAAAATCTTTGTCATTGGTTTTAGAACATAAGGGACGGTAAATGTAACGCGACTTTTGTCTTTGACTGTACTTGGTCCTTGTTCCATAAGTGGAAATGGATCGAAGGGTAATGAACTGGTAAATATTAATTTTATTGTACAGTATATAGTAATTCCATAGTTATAAACATGAAGAAAAAGAAAAGCTTTTGAAATGAACTGAAATTGTAAAGGACTTTTTGTTTTTATTGCTGTGCTGCATTATTTTTAATATGAAGGCCCTAGATTTTTACTTACAGTTTTGTACTTAAGATTGATAACATGACTTGCTTGGAGGTGTTGTGTTCTGTTTTTATGCAGATCAGTCAAACCAGTAAATAAGTTAAAAGCCTAAATTAATACACTGTTGTCACATTAAAAACAAGTCGAATGCATTATACTATTTATGCATTCCTGAGTATGATCTATGTCTCATTTTATTTCAGGTAGGTGAGGTCTAGGAGAGATGCGTTTCCTTAGGTCTTGCACAAACTTTCTCACCCTTTGCCTGTTTGCTTCAACAGCAGCAGTTTTTACTTTAGCTTTTTCACTTCTATGGTGTATTTGGGAATCATATATATATAACCAGCACTTCCAGGCAGCATGTTGCATGTGATCACAACTACTTTTATGGGCAACTCTTGGGTTCCTTATTCTTACTTTATTTTCCTTATATGCAATATACTGTACATGGCAATTCCCTTTCCAGTATCTATTGGCTTCCCTGCCAGGATTGACTAATTAGCAGTTCTTCATTATGAAAAGGATTAAATACCGTACTACAGCACTTTTGACACTTAAAAACGTCTAGTTATATTGACAACTTTCCTTTAAATTAGAATTATTCGTGACTGAAGGTACATAGTACAGTACAGTACTAGATCTTATTTTAATGCTGACGTTAGAACTACCCGTGCTATATTTTTTTTTGGGGGGGGGGTGGCATGGAATAGTATTAATTTGTAAGCAAAGTTAATTTCTAATGTTTAATGAAGATCATTTTGAGACAAACAAAATATGAAAATGTGTAAAGTACAAGTGCATTAAAACTCCAATTAATCTAATACAGGTATAGGATTTCATCAGTTAAATATGTCATCAGAAATGGGTGCCAGAACGTTAATTTTTATCTTTTCATGCCAAAGTTTTTTTTGGAGGCAGGTGCCTGGAAGGATGCTGTGAACTTCATGCTCTTGCTGCTCCTCTCTGCTCTCCCCTTTCTCTATGACCTTTGGGTGTACAAGCTTAGTAATACTTAAGCCTTCCTTGGTTATCTTCCCAGGGCAGATGCCCCTATCATGGGCCACATGTGGGAGTTCATTATGGGCGAGGATATCTTTGAATATGGGTATGGAAAAATATGCATGTCTACTGTTATCCCTGTTTTGCTATAGAAGTTAGAAGTTGATGATGTAACTTATTTGTTTCTTATTACCTTCCTTAATACAGTATAATGTTGTATGGAGTTTTTCTGCTAATATATATATATATAACCCTGTATTTCCTTAACTAATTTGAGATTTATTATGTAGAAAAATTCAGTTTAATCATCTACTCTATGCTTGTTTGGAAAACTTGGATGTATTATAGAATGCATCCACATCTGTTTATGAGAGTTTTTTATGGTACTGAATCTGTAAACTGTTTCTTGTTTTATAGTTCAACGTTTGTAGGCATAAAGATATTGTAATGAAACTTTGTGAAATATGTAATACAGTGGTGTATATAAATTTATGGAATTGGGGGGGGTGCCCAAGACTTGAAGATAGGTACATTATTTTATTTTTATTGAGTAGTGTAAGCAATATTAAGACTTCGTCCCATTGACATATGATTCAATCATTCAAACTTTTTTTAATCCGTTTATTTTTTATTATCCTGTTACATTTACCTCGAGCCACACTGTTTTTGTGTTTGAAAAAATAATACTGTGCAATCTGCATTGTGCAGAAATATTACTCTGTTGGAGGCTTTCCTGCCTGAATTAATTTCCAACTACTGTACAGTACTGTACTTACGTCCCCGTGAACTGGTTGCATTGGGTTGAATGAGTTGAGGGCAGAGGCAAAAAAGGGGGGGGGGGGCATGACCACATGCCCATCCCCCTTATATATGCCACTGATGTAGTATCAGGAGACAAAGGCCTTGTCAGTGTGTGAAGTTTCAGGTGAAGAGTAAAGTTTGAATTAACTGGTGGGTATAATGTACAGTACTGCCCTTTTTTTCTTTTATGGTATTGAAAAGACAAAGAATTAGTGTGTGGATAGAAATTATAATGCAGTAATTAGAATAAAATAAGTGCAAGAAAAAAAATAACATTAGATCAATTTTAAAGAAACCTCAGAATTTTTCTTTGAAAGTAAAGCAAAATTTTACTTTGAGCCTTTTAGAATTTGGTAGAAATAAAAGAGATGAAGAAGGCAATATAATTGCAAAAAAAAGTGTAAATGTACTGGCGGCATATTTTAAGCTTTTAGTGGATGGTAAACATGAGTGCATGAGAACAAGAATATTTGATTTGGAAAGTGGTGTTTTAGCTGACCTTGAAATTCATGAAAAGGGCATAAGAGTCCAAACATTATATCATCAGAAGATTATATTATTCTCCATGACATCTTAACACTTAATATGTCGCAGACAGATGTTAATAGTTGATCTAGTGTTACACACCAATACAGTCTTTGATTTTAGAAGAGCAGAATTAATGCCAACCCTCCTGATCTATAATGACATTACCACAGTAATACCATTACTGTACAGTATGCCCCCCAAGTTCGCGGATTTTTACTTCGCGGTTCTCTATTATTCACGGATGACACTCTGGATGTACCCAAGAATGTCTGTGGGTAGTTTTAAAGTTGCCGGAATTTTTGCGGCTGGAACAGGGAGCCATTCATTCTAGAGACAGTAATTTCCTTTACCTGTATTGTAAATATGCGTGTGTGTGTGTAGACATACACACACAAAACACATACAAATAAATAATACCTGTAATGGGAAAATCCTCTCGCAAATAATTAGAAACAAATTTATAAAAAATGTAACAGTCTACCCTCAAGTCCGTGCTCTATTAAAATAACGTACAGTAATAGAGCACGGACTTGAGGGTAAACTAACATCCATAATAAATTTGTTTCTGATTATTTGTGAGAAAATTTTCCAATGATTATTTAATTGTATGTTTTTTGTGTATGTATAGGTAAAAGAAATGATGGTCCTAAAGGTAAACATAAAGGGAATATACATTTTTTTGCACAGTAAAAATGTAACCTCCCGGTCCGCAAATGTTATTCACAGATTTGGCGATTTGCGGCCATTTTGAGCACCTAACTCCCGCGAATTTGGGGAGCCCCCTGTACTGTATTTAACATTTGGCCAGGAAAAAAGCAGGCTATTAAGATAATCCCAGATGTGTTGGGTGATTAAAATTGTTGTGTATTTATTTATTTTTATTTTTTCATATTTTGGTCCTAAGATGTTATTAAACTTGTTTTGTTGACTCTGCTTATAGTAACTAAGGAACAGGAAATATTATAAGCCTTTTGGGCAGGGTACAATTGTTGAGTATTTACTGTACAGTGAGTAGTGAGAATACTGAATATTGGATGGTTCATTGAGGAATATCATACGGAACAATACTTCAGGATGTAGATGTGTACTTGTATAGGCTGATAGAAAAGGTTACCAGTAGTTTATTTGAACCACAGAATTTTATTATACTTGTAGCTTTCAGTTTCAAAGGTGATAGATAAAATCACCATTACAGTATTCTGTTTACTCCGATTTTTTCATTTTGTTTGTGAAACTATTGTATTTTGCTTGCATGCCATAACTGTACTACTCTCTTCACTTACCTTTTAAGTTCATATTTATTTAACCAGTGAATCTGACTTACTAAATTGATAACTTCTGTATTGTTATTTATATAGTATATTTTGCTGCTATTTTTACCCAATATTATGTCCACTTTTATGTGTGTGTGCACATCTCTTCCTTGGAAAATTCCTCCACTGACCACAATATTGACACTGGTCTGAAATATGACAATTTGTAGCTGTTTGTGCCACGTCCATCTGTGTACAGTATTTGTAGTGTGACACATGGGTGTGCAGCTCCAGCCCAGTCTCTCTTTGTAGAACAGTGGTGCTTATGAAATTTCACCCTTATTTTGAACTTTTTAATAGTTTTGTGCTGCAGTACATTGACAGTGACAGGTGAAAAGATTAGTGTTATTACAAGAGGCAGAACAAGAATTTTTTTAGTTTAAGCTTCTAAGTGAAACTGAAAGTGAACACCTATAGTGCAGGAATATTTTCTTCAGCATCAAGAGAGTTTTTGTTTCCACTTCGTACAGATCCACATTTTTTCTGTTTTTAAAAGTTTGTTTATTGGTACAGTGCTTTTGTCTTTATTGTAGATACTGTAGTTGCCTGCTATGTTTTTACTTTTCCTTGTTTTAATATTAAGATTTCTCTTGTGTATTTATGAAAAAAGGACATTAAAAAACATTTGCATCAGCATGGAAAGACTCGCAGTAATGTGAATACAGTGGTCCCTCGGTTAACGAACACAATTCGTTCCAGAAGGTCGTTCGTTAACCAGATCCATTGTTTCAATGGGATATTGGGTAATTGGTTCCAGCTCACCGAAAAGTACATACAAAGTAAAAAAAAAAAATGCAGTAAAGTACACTTACTTTGGAGTGTGTATATAGAAGGCTCCTGGTTGATGATGATGATGGGAATTGGAAGTGGGGGTGGAGGAGAAGGGAGAAGAGAAGGAAGTGGGGATGGAAGAGAAATCACCCCATGCTTGATGCCGTCATTTCACCAATAAAATTTTAAGTTCACTAGGTGTAGTTCAAGATTATTTTCTTTAAATCAACACTGCACTGCACTATATATTGTCAATATGTAAAATAAATTTCAGAATGACCAATAATTGTACTGTAAAAACATAAAAATACTCTGTGTTCAAGAGACCCACAAGCATGATGTTTCCTCCACTGAACAGAGACACAAACTGATGCCTTGGTGGGTGAGTGAAGTGGCTGATGGGTGCACCAAAAACTAGTGTCCTGTACTGCAATTATGTTAAATAAGTGTTAAAATGACTAATAATTTTAATATGAAACTAGGAAAAATATTAAATAATACAACCTTCTTGATATTTACTCCAATGGAAACGAATATAAGCCCTAGAACCGATTGCTGTATTGGCGGACTAATATTCCGGCTGGTGAGCAAGCCAAAACATGTTGACATGTTTTCGTAAGATTTTCGTTAACCGAATTGAAGATTCTTATGGAAGGTAATTCGTTAACCAAAACTTCGTTAACCAAGGGACCACTGTAGTAAGTTTGTAAATGAAACACACTTTAGTGAACAAAGGCGTCCATTTTTTGTACAGTGCAGATGACCTCTGACATCTCTTTATACTTGGAAGAGAATCCTGTTAAGCATTGAAAGTACTTATGAAGATGAGGAAAGCTGCATTTTGGAGTGAAGGCATTCCACAATAGTAAGGCAAGTGTATGTAGTCATTGACACCATAACTTGCCCTTATCTTTTGTTCATGGGAACAAACTGAAGGTGTATATGTATTTGTATGGTTAGTCCAGTTTAAGGTAATAGACCAACTGGCCATGGTTATTGACCTCTATCCTAATGTGGACTTGTTTCCATTGAACATCATTTGTAATGGCTCCAATTGGTTTGCCCACATTCTTCAAATGATACTTTTCCCAGTAATTTTTATTTTACAGTACCTGTACAGGTATTGCCCTTTTATTTGTGATATATCTATAAGCAAATCCTGTTCTCCCTTTGATTTATATGTTAATTTTGTTTATTTATGATTGTTGAAGCATTCCTCCACCTTCTCCAAGCATTCCCATTTGTTAGTGTAAGCAAAAGGTAAAGTGTGCTTTTACAAGATGAGTTACGTAATTTATCTGTAGAATTATTTGGCAAGTATTTGGAGTACTGCAGTTGTTATAGCTCTTAACCCCTTCACTATGGGTCGCTACTTTTAATATTTTATTTGGCTAATACCAGACCGAACTGTGGAAATTGTTTTCTTGTTTGCAAAAATTTATTAAATATACAGTAACATACTGTAATAATAAATTTTAGGAAGGATTTGTCATTAGCTGATATATTTAAGATTTTAAACAGAAACTGGACTCTGTCTCTCATTGTACAGATGTCTTGCTTTTCCCTAAAGTATACTTGGAGACTGAAGACAGGATTTGGTTGCCCTATGCCACCTATAAACCATTCTATCAAGTTACAGTACAGTACATTGAATGAGAAACATCATAAAGTACAATATGGAAATTAGTAGGAAATGGTTGAAAAAAATGAAGGATGGGGAGTCAAAATTATATAGTGTAGAGATGTAATGTATGTGTGAAGGGAAGATCCAGAAACAATGACTGAAGATTAAAAGGGGTAATATATACTGAGAAATGAAGAGGTTAGAGTAGATAAAGTCAAAATTCAGTATAGGAATTGTGAATTGTGTTTCCTAATACTGTACAGGTGTAGGACTATCATAGACCGAATATTACATAACTGTGGACTGAAAATTCTTTACTAATCGGAATTTAATTACATGCTTCTATGGATATTATCAGACAGTAAGTCATAAAACAAATTGGTGAAGTTCTAAAAAACTTTGTACTGTATGTAGAACTAAATGGATTAATTCACTGTAGTGGAATTACATTTGTTTCAGTTTAATTTGTTCCTTTTGCTCCAATTAAGGGTGCTTGTTTAACAATACATCGTACATTATATCTTGATTGATACAAAATGTCTTGGATAAAAAACTTTCAAATGCAATATTTTGTACCAGTGTTTGCTGCTCTAGTTTTAACTACTGAAGTTAACTTATAAGAAATCTTACATCTTGTATTGCATTGATTAGAAGAAAAATTTATTATATAATTTGAATAATATTTCTCTTGGCTTATTAGTGGTTTTCCTCATATTATAAACTAGATACGATGAAAATGGTAACTGCACGGGACCAGTGAACTGCGATCCCCCTCTACCATCACGACTCAAGTGGGAGCTAAAGCAGGACTGTCTCCAGGTCATTGATTCCTCCTTTAGGGTGAGTATTTAAGTAGTATTCAGTGCATTTCTGTTCATATGTAGGATAAAATCTTGCCATTCCCAGAATGTCTATAAGTTCTATTAAGATTTGGTAAACTAGTTGCTTGCAGTGTGTCTGCAGTATATCTTAGGATCCATTAGTGATAATGTGTGTACTATATTGTACTGGACCATATTTACCTCAGTTACTGAGGCAGTGGCTTAAAACCAAGACAATAAACTTTCCTATCTTACTGCAACTACAGTACTTCCAGGGTCAAGAGGAAACAATTTCCATACACGTATGGTTTTCATCCTGGGTTGTAAAGCCATCTTTAGGGGAATTGTGGGGGAATGCACCGAAATTGTGTGAATTTTAGTGCATTTACTCAGGAGACACATTTTTCTGATACACTTCTTTATACTATACACATGAGGAGTGGTTTGTGGAGTATCTAGGAATTGGTTAGGACAATCCTTGCACTGTGCACTTATATGATATACTGGACTGTACTGTACAATGTATTTGTAATTAATATTTCTTCTCATCGCTTGTTCTAGGTTTCTGAAGCTCTACTAAATGATGTTGATCTGCGATTGTATATGCACACTGCCTATGGCAAGGGCTTCATGAAGTCTTGTCGATTGTCACCTGATGCATACACCCAGATGGCACTACAGTTGGCATATTACCGGGTAAAATAGATTTTCATTTTATACCAGTACAAATAATTTACAGTATTGTATCAGTAAAAGAAATGTCTTTTTCTTGGCAAGGGAAGCTGATAAAAATGGGTTTTCACCACTTTCATTAGTAAAGGAATGAAAAATAAGATAGTTTTGTAATTTACAAAAATGTGCATGCATCCCTGTATGTACTGCCTTTTCACATATACTGTATACTATTTTTAAAATATAGTTAGCAATGAGATTTTTTTCAATTTATTTGTAAAAATGCCATTTATAGTAAATTTCAGCATTAACAGACACCACATCTCTGGAATTTGAGCATGCAGTACTTGGATGGGTTTTCAACAAATAGAAAATTATTAAAAAATAAATAAATAAATAAAGGTTATGACTATACATACTGTACTGCAAATTACCTAAGTTTCTCCCATGAATTAGGTAAAAATTTTTAGTGCTCTATATGAGGCGTCCCGTATCTAAAGGTGCATTTAGACCATTTGGGCGAAACCCGTATTTTGTTGGAAAACACTATTTTCGGCCTAGCTCTATACGATGGTAGTTGATAAGATCTCCCTACTACACTGTAAATATGGTTGAAAGCCCTTTGAAAGTAGGGTAGAACATCGATTTGTGGCAGACCGGAAATTATGGGCTTGGTTTTCGCATCGTGAGGTGCTTTCCTACCGTTAGTGAGTGAGTAGCTGGTGGCCAATCACAGCTGCCAGCCCGTAGCCTCTCCACCCTGTCTCGGCCATTGACAGTGAGTATCTGCTATCTACGAGGGAGTGAACATGACTGGGTATTGGGTGGGTGAGCGGCTGGTGGTCAAGATGCGACAGATGTTTTCAACAATACAGTACTCGCCCCGCGATCCATCCTTGCTCTGCAATGTTACAGTATAGACAATACACACTACTTCATGGTTTATTTCAGAGAAATATTTGTACTGTACACAATAATACTATTCTTACACAAATAAGCCCTCGGAAATGAATTTTATTAAACAAAATTTCAGGTAATTATGCAATGTTGCATTATAATGCGCATCAATTGGCCCTTGCATGACTCCCTGACCCACCAGTTGCAATCTGTTACATAAATATTTATTATATTTACCAGAATAATTACAAATTGTACACAATATTTAACTCTGATATCGATTAAAGTCAAAAAAGCCATAAGCTGGTGGGAGTTTTGTTGCTTCAGGTCAACATTGCAACAACCCAGCACATTACTTCACGATGCGCTACATACCATCTGCAATTATAGTCCTTTAGCTTCAAAATGGATAAAAAATGAATGCTGTATCTCAAAAAACAACAAAGTTATGCACGTTTGTTGTTGGAAAACTTTAAACGAGGTATTCTTGGTTTCAAATATTGGTGCAAATAACCCATACGACGCGGGGCGCCTCGTATGTACAGTATCATCTGTGTTGGGTATTGTAGATTACTGTATGTTTACCTTCCCCTCATGCATCTCTTGCTTTCCTCTGTTGTTTAGATGACACATTTTTAGTTATATTTAACTTAAAAAGTAGAGGGTATCATATACGTATACAGTAATATCTCAGTTAGCTGGTATCCTTCAAACCCAGAGCTCTCTGATAGTCGGATTTGAAATTTTCTCGGGAAAATCGTTCCCAAAGCTGGAATTTTCCGGAAAATTACAGCTTTGCGAATGATTTTCTGAGGTGCACATTTTCTGGAAAATTCTGAGAAAATTTTCATTATACCTGGAAAATTCCGGGGATGGAAGAGTTCTTTCCTGGTTTGAGAGATGATGTAATGGGAAATTTCTGGAACTTCTGAGAACATTTTTCCATTACCTGGAAAATTCTGGGGATGAGGAATTTTTTTTCCGGCTTTGAGAGAGTCTTTACCCGGAAATCTCTCATTCCTGGAAGTGCTCTGCACCAATATATATATATATATATATATATATATATATATATATATATATATATATATATATATATATATATATATAGATAGATAGATAGATAGATAGATAGATAGATAGATAGATAGATAGATAGATAGATAGTGATGATGAAGATACTGTTCCATAAACCAGCTTTTTTGTGGTTATATTACTGTACTGTACATCTTAAAATTTCAGGATGCAGGCAAATTTAACTTGACTTATGAAGCAAGCATGACTCGCCTTTTCCGAGATGGCAGGACTGAGACTGTTAGACCGTGCACCATTGAGTCATCAGCCTGGGTGAAGGCCATGGAGGACAAGACGGTCTCTGTAAGTTGGAGTTGATTTAACACTTGTTGATCATTATTGTACTGTATATAATTAACACTTTTGGGTCTTACAATATCCACTGTGATGAGTTCTTTCACCGTAACAAGTTCAGTGCTATTTTAGCCTTGCATTAATACCGTATTTTTCGGCTTAAAAGACGCACTTTTTATGACTAAAATATACCTCGAAAATTACCATGTGTCTTCCAGGACACTAGTCGATGAGTTGTAGCAGAGGTTTTTGAAATCAGCCCCTTACAAAGACTGTTACCTCATTACAGTACTTAACAATTACAAGTATTCTCTATACAGTACTATAAAACTATTGATTTCACTAATATTGTTGATATATTGCAAAAAAAAAAAAATAAACCCTTGCTGCTGTGTGGTTTGTTTACTAATGGCAGTGGTGCGGCAGTGCCATCTATTGAGGAATTGCTAAAGGTTGTCTGCTGGTCTCAAATGCAGGAATGTTTGTTTCTTTATATGTAGGCTCTCATATTTGGACACCTATTTACAATAGGCTCTCATATTTGGACACCTATTTACAATAGGCTCTCATATTTGGACACCTATTTACAATAGGCTCTCATATTTGGATACCCATTTAGACTGTAAAAACCCCACAAAATTAAAATCTTCCAAATTCAAATACAACTTCGTCATCCAAGTAAAAACACACACACACAACAACATTGGCTGTCCTTGTGTTTTCAACTTTACTACTACTGGTGGGTAGAATTTTTTTTTAATTCAGAAACATTAATTAAAATATACAGTATATGAACAGTAAATAAGTTGCTTTCATATTCTTATGTAGAGTAATGACGATATGTTTACACATGTGCTCACTTACATACGCGATCTCACTTTTTTTTACCCTTAATTGTTAGCTACTTCCATTGTTCCATTTATTAATATTAAATAACATTACTTAAAACAACCATATTAATTTTTCTACAGCTACAATGGAGGACTCATTTTCTTCAGTTTTATAATTATGTAGAACCAATCAGTCACTGGTTTTGGAAAAAAGAGTTGTTTTTTACTTTTATTTTGTTTTTAAATAAAGATTTTTTGTTTTATATAGACGTTGATATACATGTTTACATTTGCTTACCTTCTACTGTTGGAAAATATTTTCCGTTGTTGTCATACCAACAAAAACAAGAGAAAGAATGTAAACACTGCAGCCCCTAAGATGTGGAGGTGACCAGGTGTATAAAATGAGTGCTGTATTAAAGATTTCACCTTCTTATACAGATTTTTTTTTAGATTGATGAAAATGACAACTGATAAGCAGTTCTAAGTGATGATATTCAAAGAGGTGTGTGTACTTGTGCCAAAAGGGCTGTATATCAAGCAACGGTTTCACTGGTGTAGGTAGTAGGCAGCTAATGTACTAAACAAGGAGGTACTACCGTCTGGGAAGCTATTGGAAGCATAATGTATTGTCTAATGGTAGACCCTGCTGCTATGTGACCAAGTCCCAGGTTGATGATCTGACTTTCTGCAGGGTCTCAATTGTTTCTCTTACTTTGACAACACAACATACATACAGGTATATTGTTTCTCACTCTTGATTTTTTTTTTCATTTTTGTATTTATTATTATTATTATTATTATTATTATTATTATTATTATTATTATTATTATTATTTTTATTATTATTATTACATTTTCATCCCCTAGGCCCTAATGTGGGTCAGTGACCTGTGCCCAGGTGGGATGAAACCCGTAATTTTTTTTTTTTTTTTAAATTCATTTCCAAAATCAGGGTGCGTCTTCCACAATGCAGCGTCTTCCAAGCCGAAAAATACTGGTAATTCTATTATCGTAATTCTTGAAAATTTAACATAATTGGACAGACTTCACCCTTAAATTGTAACCAATTTTGGGAAGTTTGTCTGTAAATGATATTACAAAGACTTCACTGGTATTGGATGATTAGGCTTTAGAATTTTGTTTGAAGCTGAAATAAGCTGTTTGATATATTTGGAACTGATGAATATGCACACCTAGGTTGTAATAACTGCTGTTCCAACCCAGCTATTTCCCATACAGTGAGTTCTGCTATAACGCGTGTTTTGATAACGCGAATTTGCTCTAACGCGATTTATGAATTAGGAACGATATATGTATAACGCGAACGCTTGTTTGCTATAACGCGATTTTTGCTTACTATTTCTCCAATTTTGTGGTACAGTGGGGTATGCTATAACGAATCTAATTGGTTCTAGAACCTTGTTCGTTATAGCATTTGTTTGTTATAGGATTAATCCGTTCCAGGCCCCCAAATACAACCACTTAACACTGAAAAATATAATATAAAATTGTAAAAATTGTAAAAAAGTGCATAAATATGCATCTAAACCCCTGAAATAAAGAATATCATTAATATTTGTAATAAAAAAACAATAAATTAGAAAAAAAAAATTTAAATAATGTTCGTTATAGGAGTTTCGTTCGTTATAGCATTCTCAATTTTATAGGTAAAACCGTTCGTTATAGGAATATTCGTAGTAGGATCCGTTCGTTATAGCATACCCCACTGTATTAACTGTGAATATAGTAAAGAAGAATATCAACAAGAAGCGTTCTGGTGATAGAATTCCCGGTGATGACGTAAAAGAAAGGATATAACACTTGAAGAGAAGCTCGATTTTATCAACCTCAAAATCACCCTTCTCCCCCATCAAGTAAAGTGTTACATTTACTGTATGATTTCATTATTAGATATGAATGTAACATTTATTTAGACTGTGCTATCCTTTGTGTTAGGCTAACTACTAAATTTTTTCGATTTCGAGTAATCTGCACCTAACCCTATTTTCTCCATAAGCCCTGTTATTTCTATTACGCGATTTTCTATAACACGATATTTTACAAGAACACAATTATCGCGTTATAGCAGAACTACCTGTACTCTGTCGTACACAATTTCTTTTCCGCTTAATTTGTTCTTATTTTATACTTAATGTGTTGTATATTGTATGATTTCATTGTTCTATCAGTGTTCTTCACCATTGCATGTGTATTTAAAAAAAACGTACTCCAATATTTACTGTATGGTTGTGCTTATGGGTGACTTGAGTACTGTTTCTCAAACTGGTTCAATACACCTATGTATTAGAGTACAATATATACAGTAGTGTATATTGCTGTAAGTTTATTTCATTGTTTTATTAATGGTTTTCACATACTGAAATACCATATACGGTTGTGTTTATGGCTGACTCAAGTATTTCAAACATACACTACTATAGCCGCTAATACTATTCGCAGTGGTCCGTGGAACATAACCACCGTGAATAGTAAGAGTCAACTGTACTACAAATGCCACTAGTCGTGCAACTGATTGCAGTCCATGAGAAAGGAGACTCAGTTTATTGTTTATAATATTTGGAAAGAATATATTCTCTTACAATTTATGCCTTATGATATTTCTTTTAGAATGAGGACTGTGTGTCATTGTTGAAGAAGGCATGTGTTCAGCACCAGCTTGGTTACCGGGATGCCATGTGCGGTAAAGGCATTGATCGTCATCTCTTCTGCTTATACGTCATTTCAAAGTACTTAGAAGTTGATAATCCTTTCCTCAACGTAAGTCAAATTTTAAATGCCTTTTTATTATTTTAGATTTTATTTTGTAGCAGACGAATTCAATTTTAGAAATCCCCAAATCAAAATATTATTTGATGTAATATCCAGAAAACAGTTTTCTATACTGTATTAGTAGTGGCTGACCTGTTACCAGGAGTTATCATCATCCTTGGATTTTTCAAGCTAGCTAATTGGATATGTACTGTATGTGCATTTGCTTACTTACACATACATTCTTGTCTGTACATATTTCTGTAGTTTCACTCATTGACTTTCTCTAATCGTAATAGTTTAATAGATTGATGCTTCTGGTCATTTCAGGAGGTGTTATCTGAACCATGGCGCCTCAGTACTTCCCAGACCCCACACGGTCAGACTAGCAAAATGGATTTGAGTAAGCACCCCAAATGTATCAGTGCTGGGGGTGGATTTGGTCCAGTGGCTGATGATGGGTATGGTGTGTCTTACATCATTGCTGGAGAAGACACCCTATTCTTCCATGTCTCCAGCAAGAAGAGCTCTCCTGTCACAGTCAGTATTTAATACCTGTTGATACTTCTTGTTTGAGAGCCATCTCTTCTTGCATTTTTTACATCTTGCACCACTCTTCCCAATTATTTCTCTCTTCTTTAAGGTTTTTATAACCCTTTAGCCCCCACACAAAAGTGATTAATAATTAAGTACAGATAATAGACAAAAAGATAGAAAAAAATACATAAAGTGAAATGTATACCTGTATCTGCTTGGTGGCTCCAAACATATAACTAGTGTATTTGGGAGACAGAATTGCAAAAGATACTACTTACATTCTCTAAAGGCCAGTGTTATACTCATCTGCATGTGTAGATGGTAAATTGAAGCAATGAATATGAATCAGACAGACAGAAAATAACTATCTACTGAGACAGAGAATAACTATCTACTGACCTTGATTGGGAATTGGTGAGAAGTAGGGAACCAAAATGATTATAATATTAAATAAATTCTGACATTTCTGTACACAATCAATGTTATTCACATGTAAGTATCACTCTTAAGTCAGATAATCCACAATAAAAATGAATTGTATGCTCAGCATCTTGATCACAGCTTCACTTCCACCGGATTTAATCAGTGATTAATAAACAATCCCACCGCTATAGCCACCAATTTATACTGCCCATTCTGGGGTCACTAATCCTAAGGGGATAACTTAAATCTACTCTTAATTTTAAGGTCGCTGCCACCAGACCCCCTGGATAGTATGTAGCTTGTTTAGGTAGCTGGCAGAGCAAGCCAGGCATTGAGTTGGGTTTTTCATTGACCAAATTGAGAGTGGGAAGAAGGGTGAAACATCAATCATGACTTAACTAATTTATTCCTTATAAAAACATATTGCATCCAGTCACAATACAAAAAGAGTTGGCCTTCATCAGAATAACCACTATTATGTTCATTACACTTCACAGTATATGTCCTTCATCAAATAACTACTATTATCATCTTCATTCTTCATAACAACCAATGACCTCCTTACCTCGGTAGCTTTGTTTTCTCAGCCATCCCACATAAGAACATATGAATGGAGGAAACTGCAGTGGGCCTATTAACCCATACTGGGCAGTCCCATTTACACCCAACCCCTATTGCTTATATATCCATCCGACCTATGTTTGAAGCTATCCATCTTATTCGAGTCAATAATGATGTTTGGTAAATTGTTCCATTCATCCACTACACTATTTCCAAACCAATGTTTACCTGTTTCGCGCCTAAATCTAAATTTGTCTAGTTTAAAACCATTGTTACGAGTTCGCTCCTGGTTGGATAGTTTGATATTTAATCATTGGTCTTTCACATACAACTTTTTCATATTTATGATCATGACCAGTTAACCATTGTTTCATGAAAGTTGTGATGACTCCCATTGTGTGTTGTTTCGTAGACCCATGTTGAAGTACCTGTATCTCGTCCACACCTTTGGTCATTCTTTCAATTGTGTTATCACTTATTCATTTACAGTTGTGAACAGATTGAAAACTTTGAAGGTTAATCTCAGCCATGCCTTGTCCACACAAGATATATTTTTTTTTTCCCATCCTTGTGAGGACAACATGGACTCTCCCTTCATTTGTTTTCTGTAATTGCATTGTCAGTACCAATATATTACATTTCTTTTATTTTCAGGACTCTCCAAGGTTTGCTCGTCAGATTGAGAAGGCTCTCGCTGACATAAAGAATCTCTTTGAATCTGTGGCAAAAAAGTAATGAAGGACTTCGTTAAGGCTAAAATTACTTGAAATGTGATCAGGCTCACTTCTTAGTAACAGGTTGCTAATCAAAAGCCTTGAAGTATGTGTATATCCTGATGTGGGTGTGGTAGCTGCACCTTATACTTCAAACAGGATTGTATGCTTTTGGTAATTATGGCAAATTTTTAGTTTCATTTGACTATTATCAAGATTTTGTCTTGACGTGAAGTGCATCTTCTTATACTGTACAGAGTATTTAGATTTAAACTGTGTATGGAAAATGTAATTTTAGACCATTTTTAGTTTGGGAAGTTTTATGAAATGCCAGTGATGGTGAGTTATTATTATTATTATTGTTTTTTAAATGATGAGAAATCTTCATAAAGATTTTCTAGTGTTTTTAATTTCAAAAAGTGTTAAACCAACATGGTTTTATGAGTTAAAAAAATGTAGATTATTTATAGCATATTTGCAGCTGCTTAGTCCAGATTGCCAAAGCTGTAAGTGTGTAGTTGTATGATTGTTTTTATTCCTAACTGGCAAGATATATCATCATTGGACTTCTATGAGGTTTATAGATTTTGTCATTTGCAGTTTTAAAGGATTTATATATAATTGAAATTTTCTTTGCTCTTTCATTAACATAAATAAAAACAAAAAAAAACATTCTTCCAAGATAATTATCTGATTAGAGGGAGCTGCATATTGAATGTCGAATGTAGTTCTATTTTAATTTATTATTCTATATTTTGATAACTGAAGGCTATATACGCTGCTATAACCTAAGTAAATTTGTAACACACCTGAAAGTATTCTAATACTGTACAAATGAATATCATATTTTCTGGAAGATTAATATATCAGTTAACAATACAAAATAATTTCTTTTGAAATTCATATAAAATTAAAGATTGCTCATAGATAAGTGACTTGTAAGGCATTTGATGATGATGACGACAACGACAAGTTATTCAGCTGGTCATGTAGTAGAAATGATTATAAGAAGGAAACAACAAAAATTTTTGTTCCAGGATCCAAACACTATTTATAATTAACAGTAGAATCTCACATATTTCATGTTGGGCTAATTATATTAATGTGGTGGTTTATTGAATTAGATTAATTTTAAGTACTGTACAGGTATACCTTGACTTACAACAGGCTTACAAGCCTGAAAACCCTTCCATAAGCTGAATAATTGTAAATCAAATTGCACTGCATTTGTCCATTGAGTACCATACAAAACTTAGGGATACATTCATGGAAAAGAAAGAAACTTCATCCAGTAATAAAATGACAATTTGCAACACAAATTGTTCGTTTATGTAAAAATTGAAAAATCGGTATACTGTATATAGACGACTGTTAAATGAAAAACAAGGCAATACTGTAATTTGTTTAATGTTGCCACAGTTGACCGAGATAGTACTATAGCTTTACCATTGGCTGTTGTCTTTTGCCAGTCTGATTGCACCTGTCACCTTCAACTTAACATCTAAGGGGTATTGATTCTGTTCGCTTTCCAGATATATTTATAAACAGGGTAAATGACTTGCAAAATGCAAAAAAAAAATGATTGAGAATTCTAGTTAAGCTTGGAACTGGATTCAAAAGATGTGGTTGGCTTGTAAACAGTTTTGTTGCAATGTGCTGTAGTCAGTCAAACTGCTTGGAATATACAGTATAGACATTCGAAAATTCTTTAGGTAACATTGGTTAAAGCATGTTTTCCAACCCTAAAATTTGTTTTAGATTCAAGTATATTATTCTATGAATATTGGTAGAGCAAAATAATAAATTGTAAATAGAAATAAAAGTACGTTATATTCTATTGTAAATAGAGATATTGTAAATCAAGGTATACCTATATTCTTACAGTTTTCTTAAAATTTTAAGAGTATCTTGATGAATTAGATGTGCACTTATGTTTAGATTGTGTCTAAAAGCTCATCTAGAAATGAATACAGTAATTGCCTTTTTCATTTTGAGTTGTAACTAATTTGTGATGTCTTGTGTATTTGATATGTAGGAGAGGTGCATGCAGTCATAAACTAAATGATAAAGAACCCAAGGTTAGAGTGCAAATGTATATAAGATTTGTGTATTATATATATATATATATATATATATATATATATATATATATATATATATATATATATATATATATATATATATATATATATATATATATATATATATATATATATATATATATATATAATTTTTTTTTCTTCTCACTGTGAAGTCCATGTTACAGTTTGCAATGTGATGTTTTTACAAGAAAGTCCAGTTTCATGTACAGTAAATTCAGTAATGATTAGTTATGTCCACCAATCTTCATACAGATTAAGTGCTCCGTTTCTGAGGATCTTTTTAAGAAAGTACATTCCTTAAAGATAAGATGAGTAACCATTATTTGGATTAAAGTGAAAACCAAAACTCCTGCCTTCAAAATGCACTTCATCCTCAGTTTTGGACAAGGGAACTGACAAATGCGAGCACACTGCAGAGTGTGATGGTAGTATGGTATATTGCAAGAGTGTGATTCATTTCGAGAGAGTGATAGTACAGTCAGGGTCAAAAGATCGTTCCCTCCCAAATTTAAGCACTATCAACCCCAAATGAAATAAAATAACACATCTGCACTAGATGACAGTCAGGGTAAGTAAGTTTGGAGACTCATTACTCTGACTCGGTTATACCATAGGGAACAAACTTTTGTCTGCGACTATACAGAGCAAGAGTATGGTGAATATAATGGACCTAAGGGTAGAAAATCATCATAGTGTGATATGTATAAAATATCTTGATAAAAAAAGACTTGCCAAGGTACTCAGAGGTAAGTAGGAGCACTTTATACATTGCCATCCATTGTTGAACTATTGGAAAAAGCATGGTATTGTCTTGTTTGTAATAAGCACCCATATCTTTATCCATGTCTCTTTACATAGGCAAGCTAACAGGGATTATGTAATAATGCACACAGGGTCTTGTGCCATGTGTTTATCAATGCAACTTTAGTATAGTTATATAGATAGATTTTTTTTCTTCAGTAATGCAGTGTTTATCTCAGTGTTATTCTTGTTTTTAATGTATATTTTTCTAGAATGTAGACAGTTAGTTGATCATCAAGGAACTCCAGGCAAAACTCTCTTTTTCTCCCCTTGGTATATTGACAGAGAATGTCTTCTTTCTCTCTAAACAAGAATTGGAATGAATTCAAGTAGAAAGTGTTGTGCTTGTTAGTACATACATGTTTTATAAATAATTATAGCACATTAATTAAAGGCCCTCCTTCCTTATAGGATGAGATCATATGAAAAGAGTAATGGGATTTTTTCCACACACTTGACCAAAACTACATTGTATTTTGACTGGTCAGCCTCCACCCACTGAGCTTGTTGATTGGTCAAGACAGTAGTGAGGAGAGCGAGGTATTTTGTGAGTGCTTCACTACATCATTTATTTATGGTTCAATATTAATATTTAAGGTAAAATTAGCATAAAGTAGGGTGTGTTTTTTTCACATCTTGCCTTCTATTTCAGAAGTCTCTCCATGTAAGTCCATTAATTAGAGAGTTTGCTGTACATGATAGTCCTGATGATAAGCTCTTGTAGTCATTTAATATCATAGAAGCAGAATGAAATCTGTAGCTTGGTACAGAGTAACTCCGGTAAATTTTAGTCTTGAAATTGATTTTTTAGTCAATGTAGTTCATTTTTGGTTTCATATCACTGCAAACTTATGGTAGTTTAGAGATCATATTCAGTTTCAAGCCTTTTTAAAATGCCTTATACATTACAAGTTATTAAAGCAGGCCACATTATATATAATTTTTACATGTTATGAAGTTAATTCTCAAATACTGTATGGCTAAAATCATGAAGCTCCTGTACATTAGGTTGTAACTAATACAACCATACATCACCAGTTACCATTGCTTTATTGTATATAGATTTGAGAGAAGGCATAGAAAATAATGATATTCGCTGTGTGAATGGGTAGTTTTGAAATGGTTATAAATTTTCAACATTTTAAGTTTAATTTGTTTGTTTAGAGTTCTATTGAGTAGATAAATACAGTACACTAGTATGAGAGGGGAAATGTTTTTCTTTTTACAAGCACAAGTGTCCATGAAGTAGTGCTCTTGGTGGTTGGCTGTTTTAATTTTTCTGTTCAATACATTGTAGATTTTATTTAATTTGCTATGTATTTTCTGTCCCCTAAAGTGTCTTGGTGTTAAAATCTTCAGAGCTCTTTTTAGAAGTCAGTATTCACTTCAAGGTAACTATTTTGATCATTTACTGAGAGCACTAGTAAGGTAATCAGTAACATTGTTTGTAAAGATTGCCAGTTGTGAATGGCTTATTAAAAAACTCTGTCAATGATAGGTCAATATTCTTTAATGTTCCAAGATGTGAATTTTATTTAATAGTGCTCATGTATGAAACATTAATCACTGTACTACCATTCATACTGTTAGCAATTATTTAAAAAAAAAAAAAAAAATATATATATATATATATATATATATATATATATATATATATATATATATATATATATATATATATATATATATATATATATATATATATATATATATATATATATATATATATATATATATATATATATATATATATATATATATATATATATATATATATATATATATATATATACATATACATATATATATACATATATATATATATATACATATACATATACATATACAGTGGTCCCTCGGTCAAAGAACACAATTTGTTCCACAGAGTCGTTCGTTAACCGAATCTATTATTTCAATGGGATATTGGGTAATTGATTCCAACTCACAGAAAAAGTACATACAAAGTACAGTATACCAGTAATAGAATTAACAAAGCATTAATATAAACTAAATACAGTACTGTACTGTACTGTACAATAATAAATGGAATACCTTATTTTAACTTACTATGAGGTGTGTATGTCATATTACCGGCAGCTTTGTTTACATATCAAACAGCTGATTGTAGAGGCAGTCGATGATGACATGCCATATTCTTTACAGAGTGCATTGGTTCTAATGCCTTCTTCATGTTTCATAGCAATTTCTGCACTATATTATCAATATGTTCACTAAATTTCAGAATGACCAATAATTTTAATGTAAAAATGCAAAAATATTCGAGACCAACAAAATCGATGTTCACTCCACTGTAAACAAAGTTAAACTGAGAAGCGTTTGTTGGGTGATTCAATCAGCTGATGGGCGCACAAAGACTGCTCCCTGTACTGTTTATATTCTCAATATGTTAACTAAATTTCAGAATGACCAATAATTTTAATATAAAAAATGCAGAAATATTCAAGAGACCAACTTTCTTGATATTTACTTCACTGGAATCGAATGTAAACATAGAACCAATTACTGTATTGGCAGACTAGCCGATCAGCTGATGCGCACAACAAAACTTGTTTGTCGTAAGGCTTTCGTTAATCGAAGTTTTGTTCATTAATCGAATTGAAAATCCTTATGGGAGCTAATTCGTTAACCGAGGGACCACTGTACAGGTATATATAAAATCAAACTGCCTGTATAGTAAGTATTTCTCACCAAGGTTTACCCTAAGTTTT